TATTTTTTTTTTTTAATAAAAAACCCAAACACCAAAACAACCACTAAACAGGCTTACCACCAACTTTTCCTTTTCTGCAAACACTTACAAAGCTCCTGAGACAGTTTCACCCTTATTAAAATCCCCATGATATGAAGTAACACAGATGCAATATTTGTTTTGCTAAAACTAGACTGAGCTCACCATTCCTTCTGGTCGCTATTGCAAGTTATTTATTTAAAAACACAAAACATTTGAGTACAGCTTGTGTGAAAGGTGTTACCCCAAAACACCCAGAGCACACCTATACAAGTATCTGCACATCTTCTCTTATTGACAATCTTCCAGTAACAACATACTGCACAAAAAAACCAATGGTCACTTTTTCCATAGGACACCATCCGTTGTGTTTTTTCCTCCCCCATAGCCCCTAGTTTTTAGGGCACTGCCTGCTTTCAGGAATTCAGCAAAGCTGGTGTAGGTGGAAACACATCAGTGAGGGCAAAACAGCGGTGGGAATGGCGATGGCCTCTGCATGAGCTTCCTCGAGCTGTTCTGCAGCTGAAGTCTGTCCTTGTGACTTGTAAAGCAAGGATTGATGGTCACAGCACATTATACCTGAGCCTCAGTGCAGAAGCCTCAGCAGCAGAGGGAAAGTGGGATCTGCATCCAGCACCCCCAGCCTAGATGGCCAAATAGTACAGAAAGCTGTCTGTGAGACCCAGCGTATGATCGAGCTATTCTATAAGTATTAGTGCATTGATCCACCATGTTCCAGGACATCGTGAACTACAAGTACCCCGATGTCATGTAAATGAGGACAGTCCAGTCAGCTCTTGAATGTGGGAACACCCTATAAACACCCAGGTAGCACGGTTAGCCCCATCAGCTACCCACGTGCAACAACCCACCTCCTCTGCTCCCACCTCCAGCTCTGCAGCAACTGGGGAATGAGGAGCTTTGCTACCTACAGCATATCAATAGGGGCAAGATCTGTGGAGGGATACACAAAGCTGAGATCTCAAACTGTGGTCAATAAAGATGCCACAGCAATTTTCAAACCAGAAACTGTTACAAATTACAAGCTGGGTAATTGCACTTAACCTAATTATTCCTGTTTCCTTTCCGTTTTGGGGTGGTGTTTGGCTTTTTTTTTTTTTTTTTTTTTTAACATGTTGGCAGGAAAAAGAACACTGTTTTGAATGTTTCATGTCATACCAAGGGCTAAACCAAATTCAGTCCCAAGTCAGAAACACCTGTTCAGTGTGAAAATCCCAAAAGATCAGACCTAACAGGCTATAGGGACAGGTAACAGGCTACCTTGGCGGTTCCTGGTGTTACCCATCATCCACCAAGACCACTACGGCAGAACTATGCGGCAGCAAAGTCCTCATGAAACAACTTGCTGCCTCTACTGGGAGTACTTCAAATTTCCATGGAGATCGATTGCCATCTAGTCACCCAAACAGAATTTCAAAGAGTTATTCATCTCGTTATATTATTGCACAACTGTGGCAAATTAAATCAGAAACGCTTCAGCCCAACATCCACAGCAGTCCTCAGAAGTTACTCAGATAATTACTCAAAAAATTACTCCAAAAACTTAGTCTCAGCACCACAACCCAGCAAAAGCACCTGCTACAAAGCCTGTGACAGCACGACAGCACTACTGTCCCCTGGCAGACAAAAGGAGGATTTGAACCTTAATCTCATTTTCCCTTCCGTTGGTGAGATTAACTCGTACATCAAATAGCGCAGGTCATTTTGCTACTGTAATACAAAACCCAAACAGACTACAATTTCACCACAAGCAGCAGTTCTCTGCATTAGACTTTTCTTCTCAGCCGCATCCCTCTTCTCCATTGGATTTAGTGATTAAAAAACAACATGACTTACAGTTTACTGTGACTTTTACTTTTTTCACATCTGGGACTGAGACATCATTTTCTGCACTGCATTCATATTCCCCAGCCTGGTCTCTTGTAATTCCATAGATGTCCAGGTACTGTCCGCTCTCAAATGGTTTTGCTGAAATTAAATAATCAGAGAAAGAAATTATTGGAAGCTGAGTACAAACCACCTGAAGCTTCACCAACATCTGAACAGCAGCTGGAGGGTTTTGCTGAGTGCTGCAGATAACACATGTCCAAAGGGAGCTGGGCAGCTGCTGCATTTTTCACTTGGAAACCCCAGCTCCAAACCAGGCTGCAACACCCCCCTAAGCTCCTTGGGGTTGGCCAAGGGTCCTCTCCTGACCATAACCCACAGTCAAGCTCAGCAGCCTCCATATCCGTGACAACAATTTGCTAATGCAGCTCTGTACCTGATGGGCTTCACAGAATATAAGGCAGAGTCCTCAGTCAAAACCTTGCCTTAAGAGTTTCAGCATCCATTAAGGCTTATGGTTTGTACCTGGCTGAACATCTGCCCCCCTACAGCAATCAGAAGCAAAGCCAGCAATTAGGGCAAGCTAAAGGGACAAACAGCCCAGCCCTGGAGCAGCTGATCCACCTCTACTGCTGGTGGCTCCAGCATCAGCTTCCCATCACAGGTGCCCTCACTTTTTAACAACCATTTGATCTTGCAGCTATACATCAACCAGCTGGATATATATATATAAGGATGATAAACCTTATCAGCTGGAGTGTTCAGGCCCCCTGCACCCTGAGGGTTCCCATGTGTCCTGGAGGGAACCAGTGGCTGATCACCTCTAATGGGTGCCTGTGGGTACAAAATGGGTGGGTCATCCTACATCCTACCTCCAGAGAAAAAGCCCTTTCAGGCTTGCTCACCACACCAAGTGCTTACATCTTGTGCTGTAATAAACATTTCATCATATTAATTAAAAATTAAATAATAGCTCTCCTCTCCCATAGGACCCAAGCCCAATAAATAAGATCCCCAGTGTTTGCCTTGTTACACAGAAATAAGGACAATCCGTGTGAGCACTACTGAAAGTAGGTACAGGTCTATCTGATGTAAAACAGTATGAAGACCAAAGTGAAATATGTAACTCCTTGGTATATTATATCTGAAACCATTAATTATTTTAGAAAGCAAGAACAGTTATATGATTTAAAAGCTACTTTATGTCCACTGTACATAGAGTCATAGCATACACAGACATTTTTGTAGTTTTCTAAATCCCAGCATCTCCCAGTTTTTCCCTATTGTGATTCCTGCCATGCAGTGAGCACTTTGATATCCTTCAGATCAAAATGGCTACCTGGTTCAAAGTGCATCTTTCTATGTCTTTTGAGCAGTGCGCTGTAGGTGGGGAGCGAATGAATTGTTTTATATACATCACAAGGCATTCACCACAAAATAAACCAAAAAACTGTTAAATATAATTTTTATCTTAAAACAATATCTTATAGCAGTAATGACCACAGATGCTGGAAATTATAGGCCTAAAGGTCAGAAAGACTTGCTGAAAGTGTTTTCCCAGACAGACAAGCTTTTAGTTGACTGTTAATAACTTTGCAACTTATAGAGCAATGACAAAAATCTGAACTGTGTAGTGAGAACTATGTAGAAGTATTATGTTCATGTCCATCACAGCAGTGAATTTCATTTGCTTATCTGTTCACGGATTAATGTTTTAAAGTGTGCAAAGTTCAAAACATCAATTATAACAGTGCATCGCTTAGCAAGATGGCACTCATTAATAAGCACAATATACCATGCCTGTCACAGGAAAGAGCCCAAGTAAGCCCTGGTTATGTAAAGTAGAAAGATAAGACTGAAATTGGAAAGTTATTGTGAATTGAACTGAACATTCATAAAATGCAACAAAATAATTTATGGGATATGAGAAATTGCATGAGAATTAATTTTTTCTCTTCCATGTTGTTTGTAGGAATAAATTACAAAAAAAACCCCTTCCACAAACAAACCAGCGGTTAGTGTTCACATTGTGGCTATCATCCTGTTCCACTTTGGCCAGGTTGAATCAATTTCTAGGAAAATTTTGTTTGCATTTGCTTTGAACAGCAGTGAAGGATGCAAAGCCCCTGCCTGCATGGGAGTATCTGCCCAGACAGAGGAGAGACCTTCCAACAAGACTTCTGCTTTGATTCTAACACCAAGAAAATTATATAAAATGCAAAATTCTTTTGTGTGTCAGGTTAAAAATTACTGTTAAGTTATGAGATTGTAATGTTCTCCAATGTGAGTACTTCCCTGGATATATGGTATGCACCAAATGTTGTACACAGAATCTTGGGAATAATTTTTGATGTATCCTATCCCAGTTCCCAACAGCAATTTGGAAAAAAAAAGAAAAAAACATATCTCCAAGTACCTGGAATTTCACAAAAATAGTTATTTGTGTTTTGGAGTTAAGCTAGAAACCAAACATTCCCTGCTTTAAACTTTTGTTTTAATGTAAACACAACATACCAGACGATAACCTAGTTTCTTGCCTCCCAGCTTTTGCTTTCTTAACAATTCCTGGATTGTAGCTGTGCTTTTGGCACTCGCTTTGCCACCTGAATGGGATAATGTTGAGCCTCAGCCAGGGTCAATACAGCTGCCACTCTGCACTGACAGAAGTGACAGGTTTATGTATTTGGCACAATTCTGCTACGGTGTAAGCAACATCAGTTCTCAGGTCTGGCAAGCAGTCATCCATCCGGCTGAAAAATATCAACAGGAACAATATCTGCAGGGAAAGCAAATGCGTATTCAGGTGCTGACACCAGCCAGCTTTGGGGTGCTGCTGTGGACTGAGAGGGCAGCACAACAAATTACTACAGCTCAAATGCATCAGTGCTGCTGGGTGGAAACTTAGTGGGAGTTCCCACAATAATTCCTGTTGGAATGATTTGCAAAAATGCCCATCGGCACTTTTCATAACCGTTGTATTTATAGGGATCTTATGCTGAGCTATTAACCTAATTTATGCTGCAAACTATGCATGCATTTTTTATAGTGCTGTAAACCCCATGTATTTTATTCAACTCACATACACATTTGAAGATATTAAAATTAAGTCATTTTTAAACCCCCACGTCCCCAGAAATTTTGCATCCAGATGACATAAGAAAGCTTTTAGTAAATATTAGAGATAAATATTTTTCTTAGGGAATACATAGATACTGCATGTCATCTTTCCTATTCGTCTGCACAGTATTTCATCTTCTTCAGCTTGCTTTTAGTTCTAGAGATTTCCCATGGCTGTGTGGGAGAACTTAAATCGTGTTATGTGAAAGATATATGCATAAGTATATGTAAGCGTATTTATGTTACATTGCATGCACATCCAGCTCATAAAAGAATATTCATAAGCAGTAGGGAGAAAAAATTGTGTATAAAGACATTGGTGAATGAAAATGAGTTTCAGCAGGCAACTCAGTTTTCTCACTGTTTTTTTTCTGTGATGTCTTACAGCCTGGGGTAACCACACCTTGCTCTGTCCTTCTGCAGACCGTGTGCATTTTATGGACCCTATCAATATGTCAGAAACATGTCTGGCTAACTTCCCTGGCCGTAGAGCCAAAAGATTTATCAGATTTGGTATCTGAGAGAAAGAAATCTGGAAGGTTCATTAGCACCAGTCCATCAGCCTGAGGTTATGTCAGCCAAGATCTTTGATCAAAGATGGGAAAAACCTGTTGAGTAAAAGAAACATAAATATGAGAGTGCCTCATGTCCAAGGCAATTCCTGATGGGTTTTCAGAAGATCTCTTAATGAGACTTACTGATACACATAATGATATGTTAGTAATCTGCTCTGGATATCCTAGCTTACAAGATCAGGTTCTCCAGCCAGGAAAGGAAATGCCTGTGAAACTAAGCTTGAGTGCCTATTTTCTGCTACTGTCACGTGTTATGATGCCTGATAAATCACCACACTTATTATTCCTCAGGAGAGTACACAATTAAAACTGTGCTTTCTTACCATGCATATGGTACCTGGCATCAGGTGTAGCACATGCACACATTGCCATATGGACCAATTCTCAAAGGCTTGGACAGACGAGTTTTGCAAGGGTAGCATTTTCCTCCCGTGGTGTTAAACAAGTCAGTAAGAGCAAAAATCTGATGCAAGTCCATGGTAGCTCTGAAAAACTCTGAGGACTTCATCTGAGCCAAGGGGGGGGTTTATTTTTTCCTTATTCACTAGGATATTAAATAACTACAATGCAGCCCCAGTTTATGAACTGCAAAACCTGTTCAATGCTCAGGACTTGCTTTTATGACCCAATCTTTGAGACACCTCATGCTCCAGCGGAGAGTGAAGACCCTCATAGGACTGGGAAAGTGGGGAGCACAAGGCTGAGCTGATGTCAGTCTTGATTTATCACGGACTCAGGACACTTCAGAGGTGCACATGAGAGACTGCTCAGAGCCTAGTGAACTGTCTCCAAAAGAGAGGGGGTGCAAACATCCCAGCATGGGCCCACTCTCATGTATACTGCCTCAGTGATGAGGACTGGGCTCAGTGTGAGGGAACAGAAGGTGGTCTCCAGTGACGATGCCATCATGATGCTATCTGATTACCATCAGATGCTTTAAGTAGCCCATAATCTGTAAGGTCCTTCTTGATCTCAGAGGCTGGGGGGAGATACAGGATCAAGGGTGCGAGGAGTCACCTGGACATAAGTTGCTGTGGGATGCTGAGAACCATATAAAGGCTAGAGAATTGGATTCACCCAGAAAAATGGTCTGAAGCTATTTCTACTACTCCTTATGGATTCTGGGTTTAAAGTTACACCAAATTCTGTAACTGGATAGTGTATAGTCCTCTCCAAGGAACTGCAGGTAATCTGAACAGCTCACTGTCTATTAGGAGAATGGCTGTATCATATTAGGGACCATTTAAACATTGGTCAATTAAGACCATTTAGCTTTAGAGAAGCCATACTCTGTGTTTGAAAAGAAAAATCAGATAAAATGTAAAGAAAAAAATATCCCAAACTGACAGTTGAGGGCTGGAGGAGATCTCCCAGCCGATGACATGAAACAAGAAAAGCCAGTAGAGCAATTTTGTAAGAAAGGCATGCTGATAAAAGAAAAGAGATGTG